CCCCCCTACACTTTCCGCGACGCGGATAGTGTCTTCCCTAGCGGATACTGCCCCCCCCCCCCAAGAAACTACTGATATAAGGTTTAGCTTCTGGGTTTTATTGGTAGAAATTATTCTATATATTAGCAAATCGAGTTTTGCTATCAACGTCGACGCTCTTGAAATCGAAATTCCTTCTGTTGAACGACAAAGTGGCGGTGTAGACTGCGGACTTTTCGCTATTGCGTTTGTGTATGAGTTAGCGTCAGGAAATGACCATACCATACAAAGCAAACGGTGCGAACAACATCGCATGCGAGATCAGATGCCTCAAGCATGGCGAGTTCGAGCCTTTCCCAGGAGAGATTTTAAACAGCAAACATTTCAAGATCCAAACATTTTTGAGATCGATCGAATTGCTTTTGCAATTGTCTCATGCCTGAAGTGAGCGACGACATGATTTTGTGCTATTTTATTATGAAATACTGTGATCTTTATATAATTAAATTCTATGGTTTGCTTGCAAAATCTAGTGTAAAGCTTTTTATATAAATATATTTTCTCTCAAAGATGAGCCTTTGTTTTTGACTTTCACGTGAGGGACACTATCTGCGGCAAAGTAATTAAAATGGACACTATCCGCTAGCGGATACTGTCCGGGGGGAGGACACTATCCGCTGTGACACCGAAAATCGGGCCCCAGCACGCGTTCGTTCTTTTGATTTGGCAAGAGAAGCACGACAAATGGCAAAATTCGCACGGTGTCCGTTTGCAAAAACAACTGCAAACTGCTCTAATTCTTTCTGTCACTTTCATTTGATCTCATCCGTGAGTCGGTCTCAACGGCCTTTGGTTAGCTTTTAAGTGAGGCATTAACCACTAATTATGAGCACTTATGTGCAAAAATTGGAAAAAAAACCCAACGAAATACATGCAAGTTTATATGCACGAAGAGATCACTCTATTGACTGCCATATTGGCTTCACTCAATAAAAGGGCGCTTAACAGCCTTACATGGAGTTATCGTTCCAGTATTTATAGAGTTCACTGGATCAGGCCAAACGCGGTGTTTCCCGGGGCAAGTTTTAGCGGCACTTCGCTTTCCAAGTCGTTGTTGAGCCAATCAAATTTCATATAACATAATTTATTCATTTGCCCTGCGAGTTGTTGATAAAAATTATTCCATGGGATATCCCATGAACTGTTTTTCCGATATCAATGTATTCTAAGATATGATAGTTTTTGTGTGTGTTGGTGTTATGTACTCAGGTGAATATGATGTTTGTGGTGTTTGCACGGTGGGTATCGAACCCGCGGCCTTCAATGATCCTGTCTCATCACTGCTTTATTTTTGTATACAGTAGATAACAAAGTCAAACCATTGACTGCTGTGGTAGCAATTACAGATATATCGCCCTCAAAGACTCCTGCCAAAGCTCAACATTCTAAAAGCATCACGAACAATACGTCTCTTGCAGAAGTTCAATCTGGAGTTCAAGTCAACAAAAATAAGGAGTCGACAAGGCTTTCTGAGTCGAATAAAGCAATTCTTGATACAAACTTATTGAATACCAAAACTGAAAACGATTTAGCGCAGAGTGCGGAAAATTTTGCAAACAAAGCGTGTAAAGAAAATGGAGTAGTAGATTCGTCACATCAACAAAAAACCTTGCAAAAGGGGGCAAAGAAATGCTTATTTAACCAATCTGAGTTGAAGCATTCTGCAGAAGAAAACGTCAGTCCTCTGCGTAAAGTCAAGAATTGTGTATTGCATCAGAAAGAGACAGAAAAAGAAATTATTCTGAATTCAGAAAGTGAGATTGACAGTGTTCCTTTGAACAACGTAACTGAGGATTCCAAACTGCGCACAAGTGAATGTAAAAAGCCCACTGAAAACAAAAAGGAACTTTCTGATAAAGTGGATCAGGATCAATTTGTTTGTAACTCTGACAATGCAGAACAACATTCGCCTGTAACGGCAGAGGAATCTCTCGAGAAACAATCTTGTTTTAGTTGTGAAAGAAAAACCATACATTCCACAGAAGACAGGAACACAGAAAGCATTTACCTTGAAGATAAAAAGAGTATTTTATCATTAACAGACAATGCTCCATTCAAAGAAATAGTAAGATCACTTTCTGTTGATAACTGCTGTTCAAGTCTGGTTGGTGCGAACGAAAAGAAAGTCGTTTCAGTTTCAATGGATGTAAGCCTAGAAGGGACAAGAAGAATTGATGCAATGGAAGCAATAGATTGTTCGGAAAATCAAAAGGCCGTTAGTGATTGTAGTGACATTAAAACAGATTACGAAGGAATCAATTGCCAGCAACAATCAGAAACCAAAAACACGAACGAAGAAATGGATTCAGAAGTGGGGAATGTTTCAGAAGATCCAGTAAATGAAGATGTCAGGAACATGTCTGAAGACAGCAATAAGATGTCTGAAGACAGCAATAAAGGTACTGTATGTTTTCAGCCATAGGGTGTATAATAAAATACTACAGTTCTAAAATGTCCATTAAACTGAAAATTCCGCACTATTGCTGGCAGCTACAGTGGCAGGGTTCGCAATAGAATTCTGAGTAGGAGGCTTTTTGAGAGAAAAGGGGGGTTATGTGGTATATTAGAGAGGTTAAGTTACCCCGGTTCCGTTTTACGGGTACGACTATCGCCATTTTGTTTACCAATTTTTGCTGATGTCAGCATTTTTACCCGTAATTTCTACTCGTTTCCCCGTGGTAAACCACGGTCTACACGTAAAAACAAACGGGTACGGGTGTTTTCTGTTTACTATTTGTGGGCCGTTTAAATAGTAAGTATTTTCAACATCTTACCCAAATAAATAATGCACTTACGCTTGTCAACGTTTTCAACAATCTATGGCGAACCTCAACAGCGAAATTTGCCATTCTCTGATAGGTTTACTCACGCCGGAATATCTTGAATTTCTTACGTTACAAGTCGTTCCCCGGTTTAGGGGTACGTGTATATCACCCGTACCCGTAAAGCGGAGCCGGGGTATCTTAACCTCTCTATTGAATATACAGTACCACTCTCCTGGAAGGAGATATGAGATATGAAGATTTTGAAATTTGGACCTCCCATGTGGAAAGTTGTTTTGGAGATTTTGTCTTGATTCAAATATTTAACGAAGAATATATCGTTTAAGAATTGTTATACACTGCATGTAAGCAAGAAACATTTCCCTTGATATTTCTGTGGTAAACAAGCAAGTACTTGGGGTTAGAATTTCGAGAGATAATTACTGGTAATTGTCTACGTAACGTTATATAGACGGCGTAAATCGCCGGGTGCCGGCTTCTATTGGAAACCCTGAGATGATATACAATACATGTAGATAGTTTGGCGTCTTCTGGTATCTCTATCGCCATTTTCTTCCGAAAAGTAAAATTTCGAGTGTATGACATAAACTTAACCAATTGTTTGGCAAGACACATCAGTGATTAACTGCTTTTTCTTTTGTTATGCATGTACTGCTTTAATTACGTATGAATTGTGGTAAAATTTGATTTCGACAGGCAATTTTTTATCGTCTCATGCAATTTGGTTATTTTTGCTCGGAATGAAACGAGAAAGGTGTCATCCGAAAGCCTAAAACTCTAATCTTTATATTGATAAGTAAAATGAAATCTGAGCATACTATATTGAGCGCGCTAAGTTGGATTACCTTTCTTATACACCCTAGTATAGAATGAAATGTGATTGGTATCAAATCATAGAACATGAAGATGATTTTGCTGTTAAAACGTCGTTCATTTCGTTGTTCCCTTGCTTAAATTCTATTTTTTTGCGTTGGTGTTAACTTTGCTACATGACTAACTGACGAGAGCCTAAGGAAGCGATGGTTTTGACTTCAATTAAAACAGAAGTCAATCTCACCGTTATACATGTAGATGGAACGGAAGTGACGGAAGTCGGTCTAGCCGCTATACCTGTACATGTTGTCGATAGCGAGTATTTGCGACGGCCGTTCTTGTTTGAAATCACGAACGTGAAACGTCATTGACTGCCGTTCTTGATTATCTTTAACGACTCCATTGACTTCCTTTGGCGTCCGTGTTGTCAAAGACGTCGCTTGCTTAAGCTCTCTGCTAGAAAGAAAACATCAACTAACACAACTGCAAAATAGCATAAGGTAATCTACAGTACGCGGGCAATGTTTAAATCAAATATTTATAATAATAAATAAATTAAGTCGAAAAATATTTAGTAAAAATGGGTGATACTGAATATTAACAAAGCTGTCTTGCCTCCACTTGCTCATCATCGTTCCAGGCCATATCGGCGCGTGCTACCTTCATAGGCCCTGGAAGTGCAGGAAAACTTGCAGTAATTTCTAAAGCGCATACTCTTGAATTGGGACACTTTGGTACCTGTAATAATTTTCATAGAGAACTATTACGAAGAAACGAAGTATTTGTGTAATTATTATTTTGATAGAATATTAATTATTTTGATAGAATAATTTTGCGGGAAATAGCAGCTCAATTTTCGGGAAATAGCAGCTCTCTGAGAAGCCAATCAGATCTCTCTCTTTAGTCGTCTAACCCAGAGCCTAATTTTCAACAAGTGACCGAGTGAAAATGTCTCTGCGAACAAGAATGACACTTGCTCACACATAATACGTACAATTCATAAATACATCGATAGATATGTACAGTACATGCTTGCGTCACGTAATTGACTCCAGTTGCCTGTTGTTCAAAGTTGGATTAGCACTGACCCTGGGTTAAACTTTAGCATCCATTTGTTCAGAACTTCAGAAAATAAAATTCTCATTGATCCGTACAAGATTTCTGAAGAAATATTTCCAAGTTTGTAAACAAGCTGTTGCGAAGCTTTCTGTGTATTTTAGGTTAACCTAGGGTTAAGCTAACCAGCTTTTGAGCGCTAAGTACCAAGCAGAGAGCTGCTCATAGATATCTTATATACGTTAGATAGCGCATCTCTTTTAGTAAAATTGAAGCCAAGAATATTCCTGCGGTTACCCCCATTTGAATAGATGGCGGCCATGTTGGAGTTTTCCACTCGCTAATAAACGCTTAAAAAACAACAATAACTTTCATCATTTGAATAGTTCGAAAATGTATTTGGAATAGGTTTAACTTAATGTTTAAGTTCCCTGTTTAAGAAATAGAAAACATACGAGTCTTCTCATTTCATGGGAGTCTGCAATCACGGCTTCAATATTTGATTTGCAGAATAATTAGATGCACTATCTAGTGTATATAAGATATCTATGGAGCTGCTGCATGTAAGTTCAAACCCCTAGCATACCTGCTGCACCTCCTAAGGTACAACTAAAAATCTTGAATAATCACACCCTGATGTGGTTACTACTGTTTATTTAGATGTCCGTACTGACACTGATGATCAATCCGACAGTGATAAATGCGATGGTGATTCTTCTGATGAAGAGTTATTTAATCCAGTTACCTTCCTCTGTGATACCCGTATCAAACCTGATGTAAGAACACCAGAGAAAGCGATGACTCCAATAACAGGCAGTCCTCTTACTCCTATCAGTCCTTATGTTACTCAAGCCAAGGCAGCTGTACGTCTCAAGTATTCTCTTGATAAGCTGCTGTCAGAGAAACCAAAACAAGTTGAGAAAGAGAAACAATTGGCTAGATTACAGTTGGCTATGCAACAAGCCATTCAAACTGGTATGTTGGTGCTTGCCTGTATTTATAATTCTATGAAACTACAGTACTGTAGTGTGTAGTTTTACTACAGTACCATGTCATCCATTTGGGCCGGGGTCCAGAAATTCCGCAAACTTTATGCAAGCATGGGCAGTCTGGGGTCTGCTTGTATTTTTATCACTGAAATTATTCTGAAAAGTACATTTTCGAGTGCCAAGGGGCCACAAAACAAGCTGTTTTCCCAGGTTTCAGTGAATAGGTGTTCTTTATATAGTGTCAAAGCCTCAATAATTCACCTTGGGCCAGTTGTTCAAATGTGAGTTAGAGATAACCTTCCCGTCTTAAAATTTAATCCGCTATTTTACCGTTTATGTATTTGTGCAAGTCTGATTATTTCAAAATTTCAGAGAAGTAAACTCCTATAATAAATAGACCCCTAGCATAGCTGTGGCACCTTCTAAATAGGAGTTTAGAAGTAAACTCTATCTATCCAGCCAAGATTTCTGAAAAACATTTCCAAATTTATAAACAAGCTGCCCCTGGTTTGCTTTGAATTTTAGATTAACCCAGGGTTAAGGTAATCGGCTTTCGAACAACCTGCCCCTGGTATTCCAAACTGGTTAACATATAGGCTTGTCAAAGCGATGTTTGTCTAGTGTCTTAAGCCCTTTACCGTACAAAACGTTTCCAAGAATTCTATAACTGAATTTGTGCACGTTTTTGTAGATTTTCTATCTTTATCCCTTAATACTAAATGAATATCTTCTCCTCAACGACTTGCAAACCGACCGGTAGACATGGTGAAATTCTTGAAAGAACTTTGTAAAAACTTTATGCAAGCATGGATAGTCTTGCCATACGTGAAGCCTCAACCAGAATTTTTGTAAATTCGGGTTGAGACTGCACGAAGGCTAGGGTGGTCTGGGGTCTCCTAGTATTTTTACCACTAAAATTATTCTGAAAAGTGAATTTTCGAGTACAAAAAACCATTTGATCTTGAGCATAAAATGCAAGGTTCAAATTAAAACAATATTTAAACTTTTTGTAAAGAGTAATGTATTATATAATAACTACAGTGAAACACGCAATTTGATTGGTCAACAGCTGTGCAGGATCAGACAATCCTGCACGGGAAATTCTGAACAGAAATTCTTGCACATAATTTTACAAATATACTCGCATTGTAAAGTTTCATTGTACGATACCTTTGGACTTTGAAGTAAGTTTCCAATTATTGAGACGTTGGTTTAGTTGTATGAATAAATTTCTGATCGATACATTGCTATTCAGCAAGTAGCAACGCGTAGCGTTGAAATTCATCTGACCATGGCATGCAAGTACAACATCTCTCGCTTCAAAGTTGATCAAACGCTTCGCAATCTTCACATATTCAGGTCGATAATCTTCAAAACTACTTTGGCTCTCTGTTTAGCGGGTTTTCCATTTCAAATTTCGTATATTTTATCGAAAAAGTCCCTGTATTTTCGCTGTATCTTTTCGCGAATTTGCGATCATATTCTGTTCACATATGTTGTTGTTTTCAATAGCGTAGAGTAGCGATTCTCTGATTGGTTAATTCACGAATGTTGTGAGAACTGCACATTTCATCAGTAATTTTAATCAAGTTAAGCGTCGTTTCACTGTAGTAATTTTATAAAACAATTACCAAATGGTTTTCCCGTGCAGGATAGCATGATCCATGCACTTGGGATGTTGCTCGACTTTTGGAAAGCGTAAAAATACACTCGCCTACGGCTCGCAACATCCCGCGTGCATGGATCACGCAATCCTGCACGGAAAACCATTCGGTATTCCTTTATGAATGAAACCAATCATGCACATAATGAGTCATGCGTGTGATTAATTATGCGTGAAAGGCTACTATGAAAAAAGTCCGGTTTTAGAGGTCGCGCATTGGACTTAATGACTGTAAATCAAATTGTATGATACTTTGATACAGTAGTTCATAAAACACCTTCTAAGTTTGCACCCTATGAATTCAAATTGCGTTTTAAGCCTTCCATTTTTGTGTGCAAGCATTTTGAAGTTGTTTTTTTAAACCCTCCTACGCTCGAAAATTTACGTGGTAGAGATACTAGCGACCCCAAACTACCCATGCTGGCATAAAGTTTTTACAAATATTTCGGAATTTGCGGTTAATAACCATATATATCTTATATACACTAGATAGTGCATCTAATTATTCTGCAATTCAAAAATTGAAGCCGTGATTGCAGACTCAGGATATTCCCATGAAATGAGAAGATTGTATGTTTTCTATTTCTTAAACAGGGTACTTAAAGATTAAGTTAAACATATTCCAAATACATTTTTAAACTATTGAACTGATGAAAGTTATTGTTGTTTTTTAAGCGTTTATTAGCGATTGGGAACTACCAACATGGCCGCCATCTATTCAAAATAGGGGTAACCGCTGGAATATTCTTGGCTTCAATTTCACTAAAAGAGATGCGCTATCTAGTGTATATAAGATATCTGTGTTAATAACATGAAGATAATCTACTTTCTAGATGCCTAGATATTACTACATGATATGTGCAGTGGAGGTCACTTCATAAAATGTTGGGGGACGCGTATTATAAATATAACATAAATAGGAAGATGTAATGCTCGTCTATTCCTTCCTCAGGTAGAAACCCTGGTATGGCAGACGACGCTCCGTCAGAATATCAAAGTAATGTATAATAAAAGAGAATATATTTTCTATGTAAAATTCTGGTCAAACCAGAGATTGATCAATGTTGATACAGTTTTTTCCTAGCCGTCAGTAAAACTCTTAACTTGAATACTAATATAATACACCCTTTTGGAAAGTACGTTATCTTAGCTATAGAACCAGTGAACTCTAAGGGAACTGGAACGATAACTTGGCCGCCATCTTTGAAGCCACTCATGATGGCCGCCATGTACGTATGGAGTGGAAAATACGCCACCGAAAAGGCATCTGTTTTTGAGCACTAAATAGCTGTATTTCAACAAGGAAAAAAGCTAAAAACTTTCAACAATACCTGAAATTTAATACAAAACATGTTTCCAGAACGTAGAGCGGTTCTAGAGTTATTTATTCAGGAGTCAAAGTGCGAAGTTTTTTTCGGCACGTTCAAACTTGTGTAATATTTTGAATATCAAGTTGTTACCCAGGAAGTTTTTGCTGTTAGTGGATGTAAAATACTTAGAACTTTCCAGGAAACCAGGTTTGAATCTTTAAAGTTGAAGCCTTTTGATAAAAAAGTACTTTTTCTTGCTGATTTTCACTCAAAAACAAACTTTTGACTGAATTTCCCGCTCCTCGAAACTCTCACTAGTCCTTTTGAAAGTTAATTTGTTGCTCGCGAGAAGCACCATCTTGGCTTCAGGCAAGTATTGGGCATGTTTATCTACAGTTAGCGTTCCAGTGTTATTACAGTTCACTGCTTAAAACCCAACGTCTCAATCACGAGACTGGATTGCTAAGATGCATGATGCACATTCCGGAAGGGTGTATTGACTAAAATAGTGAGCCGAAGCAAGACGGATGTCTGATTGCTGAGAGCAGACTGGATTAAAAACTGTTTGGATCAGTTTGTGGTAATCTTCAACACATATAACAAAACATAAGATTTTTAAAGTTTTTCAAAATGCCGCTAAAATTAGTTACATGTATGCCATTTCTGGCCTATACTAGACTTGCTCCAAGTCTCTCTTTCATTGTCATATAGTATCGGTCCACTATAGTGTACATTACATGACGTAGCACGGAGAGGCTGAGCGAGAAGGAGACTTGTCAACTTCGGAAAATCTCGGTTCAAAACTGAACCGAAAATGCAAGACTTGCTTTAATTGTTTTCTGTCATTGTTTATATGTATTGATCTAGCACATGTAAATAACATGAGTTCCATTATAGTAAATGATAAAGAAAGAAATTGAAGGAAAAGAATTAAAGCAAGTCTTGCATTTTCGGTTCAGTTTTGAACCGAGATTTTCCGAAGTTGACAAGTCTCTCTTTCTCGCTCCGCCTCTCCGTGCTACGTCATGTAATGTACACTATAGTGGATCGATACTATATGACAATGAAAGAGAGACTTGGGGCAAGTCTAGCCTATACCGGTTTTATTATTGACCGATCAATAATTGTTTCATTGTTGACCGGTTGCCCCCACGCCAAAGCATGCAGTGAACATGACGTTTTGTGGACCGGCACATGATACGGTTTTGACCAATCGGCAAACAGGAAAATTGAACTTTGACACTTATAATAATTAGCACTTATTGACTGGCGCTGAGGGAAACAGTATATGTTTATGTTTTGTGGACTCGAGAGCGCCAATGTTTCCCCAGGCGAAATAAGTACTTTATTATATTATATTATACCGAGTGTCAAAAGAATATAAACAATACCGTTAAATCACTGAAGCAAATGTAGTGAAACTCTTTACTAACTTTCATAAACAACCATGCTTCTCAATTAGTACAGTATTGTTAACTTTCATAAACATCCCTCTAACACGAATTTCTGATCTGTAATGCGGTTTACAAGTGTGCACATGTGACCTAAATACCGCATCGTGATTTGTTTGCGCCCTTATTAATTATTCATGAATTTTACAAATTTAACAATACTAATTTAAGTTTTAATAGCATGCATGCCAATGAAGCGTGAGATTGTCCCCACGGGCAGAGAATACTAATAAAGTAAACAAATAAATTCATTTTACAAGTACGTTAAAATATTCGCAACTGATCTGTATGGGCATTTAACAATGGCTCGCGCTGCGCGCTCGCCATTGTAAATGCCCATAAAGATCAGCTGCTCATATTTTAAATCGTACATATTTAACTGACAAACCGTACAAAGTACAAAGTATGTAATTTAAAACTGCAAATAAAAATATTAAAATGTCAAAGAAATCTTGTGTTCATCTTCGCTTTGCGAATCTTTTTCGGTTCAGCTATAGAGGCTGGCCGATATCAAACTGATATCGCCTCGCTCCTCATATGAAAATCTACACATATTTTTATTTAGACGACGAAAAAGCTCTCTTGCCAATCCATCAAAAGGAACTCGAGAAATACAAGTCTGCTGACAAAGGATTTACAGAAGAAACATATGGAGCAAATCTCTTTTCTGGACTGAGGGAACCAGTCAAAGTAGGAAAAGTGACATGAGTTAACAAATAGATAGCATTTTGGCGTTGCTTGTTCAGTTGGAGATACACAGTTAGGGTGAAACGCGGATGCGGACGGATAGACGCCGGGCGGACAGACGGATAAAAGCGTAAAATGCGGACGGTATCATCCGTCCATCCGCATTTGACCCTATCATCTGTTCGTCCGTCCGGCGTCTATCCGTCCGCATCCGCGTTTTACCCTAACCCGGGGCGAAGCACTATAAAGAGACTGCCCATATCAATCAATCAAAAACTTTATTTAAGCACGGTAAACTCTACAGTACAGTACAAGAATAACATTTTGAAACAAGAATTAGCCGACATATAGCTTACACTTAAAGACAAATATACAATTCACACTTAGACTTTTGCAAATATTAATATATACTACAACATGCTACTTATTTACAAGATTGCCGTGCGGGAGTCCGTTTCATAGGGAAAATAGGTTGTCAATTTCTCTTTTCAATTGACTAAGAGAGCATATTGCTCGTACATTTACAGCTAACTCATTCCACAACACCGTTTTAACTAAAACTTCGTTTACCATAGTTCTTTCGCAGTTTTGGCACAAATAAAGTTTTTTCATAGTTTCTCAAGTTGTATCCTGTGCTGCGGGATTCGAACAATTCACGGAGATAATGCCGAGTTAATTAGCCTTTCCCACGCCGCCATTTTTGGGTGGCTTTTCAGCCGAAGTCTGCGAGATAAGTCCACATAACAGCGACTTTTTATAATTTTTTGGACGAATGATGGTAAATTTGCTTTATAAATGGTTAGTTTGTTTTGAAAAATTGCTTTTCACATTGTTTTAATTGTCTGCATTGGTTAACGAGAATTAGATACCACCCAAAAATGGCGGATATTCGTCATCGTGAGAAAGGCTAATTCATGAATTGTTTTAAATATCAATATAGCTTTATGCTTTTTTCGGCGTGTTGAACTTTTATATCGAATATATTACCTCACATATAGTTAAATTTTAAAATATTATAGGTCGTACCAAGGGGGACCAACATATTAGCAACTTGTACCGAGTTGTACCAACTTCCACGAAGTTCGTGCCAATGTTTGCCAGGCACAAAACAATACAATAGGGCTGGTGCATGTGACATATAGATTGAGATTAGCTTTCTCGTGAGCGTGACTTTCTCGTGAACTTATCACGTCATCTGTATCTACAGCTGAGCAAATAACGGCAAAAGGTTTGTTTCATAAAACTGCTGAAAAATTGCTAAAGTACAGTACATGTATATGCTCTAGAGGTGTGCATCGGATCGGATTGGACGTTTATAAACCGAAAATTGGCTAATGTTTAAAATCCAACCCGATCCGATCAGAAATTGTCTAATCTGAATCCGATCTGAGTTTGATAAAGATTTCCGATCCGATTCGAAGAATCCATTAATAAAATAAATTTCTCATTCAAGTGGAAATATTTAACCAAATAAATATAAAAGCAAGAAATACATGTCAAGAAGCTGACAAAGTGACGTGGATAATTAATTCATTTTATTTCAAATATCGAAGTCCGATCTCACTACGAAACAACTTTATCAATGATCCAATCCGAAATGAATATTTCTGTTCCGAAATCCCAACGAATCTGATCGGATTTGCACACCTCTAGTATGCTCGTACCGAAATGTTTTGGGGATTTTAACCACGAGGGAATGACATTTCCATCCCACTTGATGTGACCCATTATTTATGCCAAACAAAGCACGCGATTGTTCCGTTCTCTTTCTGATAGAGGTGTGATTGGCTTAAATATATTGCGTCAGTGAATGTCGTCAATCATCTGTCTGTCCTCTGTTAGATCACGGCTCTCTACCAATGAAAATAAACTTGCACATGGAATAACGGTTGCACATGTTTGTTTGTCATTAAATGACTCGTCAGTAATCCTGAGGGTTAACAAGGTCTATCTGCACCTCAATAATTTTGAGAAAAAAGAATTTGAAATTTTGGAAGCTCATAACAAGTAGATAATTTAAACCAAATTAGATCTTTCACATACTATACACAAGATAATCGAAGTAACAATATTTTAGGCATCCAATCTAGCATATAGCTATTGTGGGCAACAACGAATTTAATTTTGCAAATAGACCGTTGTGACTCCAAAATGTTTTCACAATCGTAGTTACAAATATATCTCTAATGTCATCATTTTATACAGACTACAAATTGTGAGCTTAAACTATGTTGTGTACTAATTGGATTCATGTTAAACCCTAAATAGTTCTTATTCAGGCTCCATTTGTTTACGAAAATTAACCGATGACACCTTGCCATGATGCAGCTTCGCTTGTGGAGGGGCAGCTCCCCCCGTTCCTGCACCTGTTTTATTATTTATATAATAATGTTAAACAGGGACCCTAACTCGCCGAGGCAATTTTCAGTAGGGCCATGGAAAAGTTATCTTCAAATTTAATTTGAACCAGCCATCATATCTCTTGATTGTGATGGCAAGCTTTTCAGTTCATATGGAATTCATGGATTTTAACTTTCATACCTATTCCGTTCATATAGTACGAAAATGGCTGCACTCAACCATTTGTAGAAATTGCTGACTTGGATGAATTTACCAAGTTCTTATACCATATACCTGATGTACAGATACGCGAACTGCTTTGTTCTGACTGGATCACTCATAAATATATGCTTCATCCTTGTCCACCAGCTGTTGTTGAGTGGCTATTTCATATTCTATGTTATCACTTGGATAACCACACAGTCAAAGCCAGTTATAATGCATTGTGGTCAATATTAAATCTCGGAGATAATAAGGTATGAATGTCATATGTTTGGCGCAACCAGGTGTATATTGTATTATTATATACACAAGGTCTGGATATGAGGTGTTCTGCAATCTGATTGGTTCTCTGCTAGCAGGATATAATTAGCTCATATCTCATATCCTGCTAGTAGAGAAAAACAAAATGGCGGCTCAAACTGAATTTCCGACATTTTGCGAACGAGAAAACGGCAAGTTGTTCGCTTTTTATAGCCTTTACAGGATTAGAAACACAACGAAAAAACTCCCACAAGTTGTTTGCAGGTTAGCAAATGAATGTTTAAAATTTAAAATGGTTAAAAATATATATTTTTGAAAAAATACTCGACCGAAAGAGCGAAGATAAAAACATGAACAAAATAGAAAAACATTTATTTTGTAAACTAAATTCAAGAATTCCGATCTGAAGGTTAATATTTTGTTTAATTTGCAAATTAAACAAAATATTAACCTTCAGAATCGGAATTCTTGAATTTAGTTTACAAAATAAATGTTTATAATGAACGAAGGTGAAAGTTTTAGAAGAAGAAGGAAAAATATTGAAAATATTCGAAAAGCAAAGTCTGTGAATCCAGACCTTGTGTATATAATAAAACAGTTATTCCACTCACTCTCGTCGAATATGAGCGATAGCCGATTCGGTGCTACGCGCCTCATCGGCTATCAGCTCATATTCGACTCGACTTTGTAGAATAATTGTTAAATAGCAGACCACTGATCTCAAAACTGTAACTGGATGTGCCAATGAAGCCCATGGCGACCGTATTAAATGCGTACGATCAGAAATTGTGGCAACAAAATTGACACGTTTACATTTGCAATTTTTGGTGCGATTTCTTGTGCGATTTTCTTCCTCTGATGCATATGAATGAGTAAATAAGGTATGAATGTTCTGAGTATATGTCTCACTGATCTACCCTCATCTGAACATTCAGAACTTATCCACTCGTTCACATCCATCAGAAGAAGAAAATCGCAGCAGAAATTGCAAGTGTAAACAGGCCTTAAGATGAGTTGAAGGATTTTTGTAGATGGACATTTTGATGGAAATTTTATACATTTATTAGACCTAACCAGGAGCAGTTTTGAATACTTCAACTACCTGGCGATCCAGGTGCAGCGCTCTAACCAACTGAGCTACAGGACTCTGTTGTCGAGCTCCAAAACCGTACCTTCATGCATGTATACTAATACGAGTGCTTGATAACTGGCCTCTGTAGCTCGGTTAGTGCTCTGCACCGGAATCGCAGGGCGCAAGTTCGATTCCTGCCAGTAGTCGTATTTTTCGCAACTGCTCATGGTTAGGTCTAATAAATGTATACAAGAGTGTAGATGGCTACAAATCCCTTCAATAATTAGTTCTATTGAGTGAGATGCCCAGGATACTGATATTTAGATGAGCAGCTGCATCTTAACTCAGCATGCGTACAGTATATACATGCATACTTACATGTACTGGATATTAATGAAGTCAATTTCAAAATTATTTCACAAATTAGTTTTCGATCAGAATAGACCCAAAAACAATTTTAGGTAACTCAAGAATAATTAAAACCACCATAATGTTTTAAGATTTTCTAAAAATACAATCGTTTAGCAGCTTTCATTAAAATTATAGTACGTTCAGTCACGTATATATATTAAGTTCAAAACTGTCTCTATTTCAGGAGAAGCGCAAAGTGCTTTCATGGATACCTTCTGTTCAAAATGTGATAAAAGTTTTCAAGAATTACGGAACTAACCTTACTTCACTATTGACGAATGTTTCTGAAAGCATAGATATTGGGGAAAATATGGAATTGGTCGGTAGAAACGACGCTCATACAGATACGAAGTAAGTAGAAAATAGCAAACTCGTTGTCGATTATTACGTTGGTACAGTACAGTAGGTTCAGATTTTGCTTCCACTCACTGGCTTAGTATACACATCTGTTCGGTTAATCGGATGTATCGAATGGATCTGATTGATTAATAGACAATTAACGGTAAAGCCCTGGGCAAACTAGGAAACATTGTTGCGGAAACATTGTTCCTACCAATATTTCGCCATGTTTCCAAGAGTGGGCAAACACTAGGAAACATTAGTGTGATTTAGTGAGAAACATAGGGAAACATCAGATGTTTCTGAATTTGCTTGGAAACATTTTTGCTTCTCGGACAGCAAATATTGTTGCCGCAACAATGTTTCTAAGGGTGGGCAAACAGGGAAACATTTGAGGAAACATCGAGAATCACAAATGTTTCCACAACAATGTTTACTAGTTTGCCCAGGGCTTAACGGTACAGCAGTGGTAGTCATAGACGGATTTTGTGGGGGTGCAGGGGGTGCTACCCCCCCCCCC